CCAACCCACACACGGGGGGGGGAGGAAGGGGGCTGAGATGTGAGCAGGGACAAACGGAAATCGACTGTCAGAATTGATCAATATTTGTGATTATTCGAAACCGATCTTCAAACGCTTGTTAAGACTCGCATCACTGAAGCGAATAAAGGTGATGTGATGACAGTAACATGAAAGTTCAGTGCACTTCTGGAAAGTCATCTGTTAAGTGGGTCGGAGCGGGCTCGTAGTTTTGCCGGGCATTATTAACGCTCAGGTTTATCTAGAACTCGTAATCCATCACATCTGGTCACTGGCGAACAAAGTTACGAGAGCCATTGTTCGAAATAACAACGCATAAGAACACATCGTAGAAAATACGCTACCGTGGAAGACGGCGTCCGTTTTGGAAAAAAATGCCGGATCCAGGCACTTATCAAATTACTACTCAGCTACAACATAAACAGTAGTCCGCGATGAATTGATTTGATATGACACAAAGATTTTAGTCCCTGTTTCCAAAAAGGTTGACAGATCAAGATGCGAACACTAAAGGGGTATCAGTCTCAACGATATTGCGGTCTAATTGTTTGCAGTGATACTGCTTAACTGCCTCGCAGTCGTCAGAGATACCCGCATCCACCCGAACCAAAAAGGGTTTCGCCGCGGAAGAGGCTGTATTAAACTACTCTTTACTCTCTGTAGGCTGCTCGAACACCGCATCAAAGTTCCAACAATCTGCCACAGCTTGTTTGATCGACTTGCGCGCTACCTTTGACTATGTAGACAGACAACCCTTGGGATGCATATTGCGCTCCGACGGGCCGCCCGAGTTACTCACGCTTTTAAGGTTGTACCTATGAAGAAGAAGCACCTGAGTTTACACTGAGCTCGGGAATCAGGCAAGCTTATCCCCTATAGCCCTTATTCCTCAACTAAACAATAGATTGAATAATGCGACCAGCACTCGTCGACTACACCCGGAGGGCAGCTTGGCTCGGGTACATGAACTGCTGACCTCGAGTTTTCGGATGACGTCATCGTACGAACGAACGAAGAATGTTCAGGCTGTTTCCGGTAGCACTAACCAGCTAGCCCACTCCATTGGGTTGAGATCAACATGTCGAAAAACAAGATATTTTCTACGAAAACATCTGTCATGATAGAACCCCTCTCGATTGAGGGGGAGTTTGACGAATCAACCCAATTCTTCAAGTATATTGGCTCTACGATAAGACCCAACGCCCAGGCTAAGAATAAAATCCAACTCCGTGCGGATGGAGTTAGAATAATCTTTCGACAACCGATGCGAAATAAGCTTAAACATCAAGTTTCAGGCTCCCGTCCGCCCCATCCTCACTTATGGTTGTACAATATGATCGGAAAGAGTACAAGATACAAGGAAGCCCTAGGTCTTCGATTGTTGGTGCTTACGCCGCACCTCGAAAGTAAATTGGAGAGATCCGATTTCCAATGATGAGGATCGACGACTATGCTCGAACATCGACAAGTTTACGAAAATGCTACAACACCAGCGCCTTTAGTGCCTTGACCACGTGCTCCGAAGGCTCAGCACTCAACTCTGGCGGCAGGCTGTAGTCCCTGCACCGTGCCGACTCGGTGGTCAACTGAAGACCTGAAGCAGTACGATCAAAGCGGACTTGGAATTACTGGGCCTCCAATCCGTATACGGAATTCGTAAGTGGAACCGGTGGAACTGGGTTTCAAACTGCACCAACCTTGCCACCAATCGTCACGCGCGTGGGCTGCCATCATTAGAGGCATTCATGAAACCGATTTATCCTCCCACAAACGTTAGTCACTCAAAATTAAGAGTAAATGAAGATCAGACCGGGGCTTACCTCATCGTCTTTGATATCTTTCAACGTGTAGCTCACCACGCTGATTCCCATATTGACCAAATCGGAACTAGCCACCTCGAACACTGCCTTGGAGAATTTCTTACGATCTTTGTAAATCTCCTCCACAGTCATGTTTCCCATAATCGCACGCTGATGTCCTTCGAGCGTTTCTTGGGCCACTTCTCGGATCTCTGCAACGGTTTTGCCCAAAAATTGTTCACAAGCAGCAGCCAACATTTCCCTATTGGCTCCATTGACTTTGACCTAGGATAGAGTGAACGCAGACGAGATGAAAAATGAGTATCTGAATA